CTGACACAGGTAACATTAATATATGAAAATTTAATTATATAAATTTTGATTTAAATTAAAAGTCAGTTCAAATTAAAGTTTAGAGATGTTGAGTCAAATTCAAATTTTATTTTTGTAGATTTTTCTTATTTTTTAAATATTTAGATTCAAAAGTTAAAAAGAGGAATGTATAGGGGTCATACAAATCCATTTCAATATTTATAAAAACTCAAGGTGGAAAAAAAAAATTAAAAGTTGAAATACCTGAAGATAAAGAGCACCCAATTGGAGAGCATGCTCGTGACTTGGCAAACATGTGTGGGCTTGTAGTGAGAGACACAGCCCCATTGAATGTCAAATAATTGGGAGAAAGCATTCACACTAGCAGGTGATCGAATGTTAAGTGAAATTCAGGTATTGATACAATAGTTATATTAAATTTATATATATAACCTCTTTTAATTATGATTGCATGATTTAATTCATAAGTTATTAATTTTGTTTTTCAGAAAAATAATTGAATTTTTTAAGAATTCAGAGAAATTAGTTGGTTTTTGTGTTAAAACTATGGGGAATCAGTATAGGGGATGAAGGAATAAGTTGTATAATCTATATAAGAAGTACAACAATGATGCAGAAAGATTAGATAATTATCCATTGTTCTTCAGATATCCTTTCTGGACAATTATCTAATCTTTCTGGACAATTATCTAATCCTTCTGCATCATTGTTGTACTTCTTATATATATTATACAGCTTATTCCTCCATCCCCTATACTGATTCCTAATAGTTTTAACACAAAAATTAACTAATTTTTCTAAATTCTTAAAAAATTCAAAATTTTCCTGAAAAACAAAATTAATAACTCATGAATTAAATCAGGCAATCATAATTAAAAGAGGTTATATATATAAATTTAATATAGCTATTGATCTGACTTAACATTCGATCACCTGCTAATGTGAATGCTTACTCCCAATTATTAACATTCAATGGGGCTGTGTCTCTCACTACAAGCCCACACATATTTGCCAAGTCACGAGCATGCTCTTCAATTGGGTGCTCTTTATCTTCAGGTATTTCAACTTTTAATTTTTTTTTTTCCACCTTGAGTTTTTATAAATATTGAAATGGATTTGTATGACCCCTATACATTCCTCTTTTTAACTTTTGAATCTGAATATTTAAAAAATCAGAAAAATCTACAAAAATAAAATTTGAATTTGACTCAACATCTCTAAACTTTAATTTGAACTGACTTTTAATTTAAATCAAAATTTATATAATTAAATTTTCATATATTAATGTTACCTGTGTCAGACACCTAACTCTTGCCAATCATCTGGTGATTGTGTTGATTTATCATCTGTTATATGTGTTGATTCATCATCTGGTTGTTGTGTTGATTCATCATCACTGCTAACAACATCGTGAGTTCCATTAGAATAACTATCTAACTGCACTTCATTAATAAATCTACCTTTTATGACGTAAACTCTTTCACCTTTCATGCTGGAAAAAAATTACAAAAAATAAAACTAAAACTCTTTTAAACTCAAACAAATATAGAGTTTAAAAATATAATTGTATACAATTAAATATATATTTTTTAATATATTATAAAACTGATAAGTGTATATATATATTTATTTGATATATGAAACACGGAGAAGCTTTGTGAAATTGCTTTAATAAAAAAATACATCGAAAACGAGATTAAAAGAAAACCTCTATCTTCCGTACACCCTATAAGAGAATACGTTTGCTGGAGAATCAAAGAGCAGGTTTGGGGAAAGTTTATTTACTTTTATATTTATAAGAAGATACAAAGAAGTTGTTAAAGGTTAGTGAAAACATACCTGTTTTTTTATATCGAAAAAGAAGAAGAAGAAGAAAAAGAAGAAACCATACTTGTCTTCTGTACTCCCTCTTGAAAAATGTCTTTGCTGGAGAATGAAAGAACAGGTTTGGGAGAAGTTTATTTACTTATTTATGTATAAGAGATCCGAATAAGTTGGTAAAAATTACTTATTTATGTATAAGAGATCCGAATAAGTTGGTAAAAAGTAGTAGAAATTTATTGAATTTTTATTAATTGATTTTTTCCTTGAATATCCATATATTAAGTGATTCATTATGGTATTTTAATTTTTTTTGCCTTTCAAAACAGATCTTTTTCCATTTATAATTATCAAAACAGATTTTAAAATATAAATTGAGATTCTAATTATTTTTTAAAATCAAAATTGATATGCATTAATCTCTAAAAAAATCAATTACAAAACTACACTTCTTATAGTATAAAATTATATATATAATCCTATAAATATAAATTAATTACTCTTTTTCGATAAATAACACAAGTTGAATTCCAATAAAAAAAGATAGATGTGACTAAACGAAATCTTATATTTTATTGAATATAATATTTTTTTAACATATTAAGTGATTTATTGCATGGTGCTGACATCACGAATAATGTGTCGACACCATGCCCGTGTCGGGTTTCCGGCCCTTTTTTGCAATTTCTTCAATGATAAAATGACAGATCTAGTCCTCCAGCTTTTATATCCCATAACCTAAGAGTCATTCATTTGGGTCCAAAAGCAGTCCCTCAACTTTCAAAAGACATTTAATTAGTCACAAAACTCTTATTATTATGCATTTAAATCCTTTTTGCACGAAGAATTAAAACTTTTAAAATTTTTTAAAATCACAAATTGCAAACAGTAATATAATCCATCTTAAAATAACAGATTAAAGTAGATAAAATGCTTCTAAAAAATATAAGCATAATTAAAAATTTGTAATAAAATATTTGAATTAAGAAAAATAAAGTGAGAGAGAAAAAATATGGAACTTGATTATCAAAATATATATATATATATAATAAGAGAGGGGAGGAAAAAATTTTCTGGTAGTAAGGGTATACTTACAATTGTAAAAATCATAGGTATAAATTAGTGTTATAGTCATAATTATATATGATTGAAGGTATATCTATTGTGTATACCTACAATTTTTTATATCTATAAGTAAATATTAAATTCATATACCCATGAATTACATACTGTAACTAATAATTCTTTTATATACTTACACCAATTGAAATTGCGTAGGTATAATATAATTTTTCCTACGGTTGTTTTGTGGATATAGCTATAACTTATATATATACCCACAAATTACATACTGTAATTAATAGTTCTTTTATATACCTACACCAATTGAAATTACGTAGGTATAGTGTAATTTTTCCTACGGTTTTTTTGTAGATGTAGCTATAACTTATTTATATACCCATAAATTATAAATCAAAACTAATAAAACCCTATACCTATGAAATAGTGAGCGTAGGTAAAAAAAAAGTATAGCTAAATGGCAAATATGCTGTAATGATAAGGGCTAATAAAATCTGAAACAACAGAACAACAGTACACAATTTACATAATGTAAGGCATATTAACAAATAAAGAAGAGTAAAATCTAAAGAAAACACTAAAATTAATAATTAAAAAAGAAGAGTAAAACCTAAAGAAAACACTAAAATTGATAATTAAAAAAGAAGAGTAAAACCTCTCCATAATTTCACCTTTGCAAATTGAATGATAGAAATAATAGGTTTATTAGGGTTTTTGTCAATCGTTAAACACTTTTTATCAACAAAATTTTCCCAAAATATACAACAGAGAGCTTATTATTACTATTTGAAAGAAGGGAGAAAAATAAATAAATTGAAAAAATATAATAGGAAACTAATTAATTAAAAAATACCTTAGATTATCAAGTTCAAATGAAATCATATTCAATGGCTAACCATTTTTTGTCACTTCCACTCAAGTACCACCAATAAAAACCCAACAAACATTTGCAAAAGAGCAAATCACTCAATGTAAAAACCAAATTAAACCAACAGTACAATTGAATAAATTAAAACAAATAGAAATATAGTAAAATTATTCTATAATAAATATACTAACTAAAAAACTATTTTCTTGAATTTGATTCAAAATCTTATCAAACTCATTGAAAGAAAATGCATAATAAAGAATGTTGGAGTCATTAACCAAACTTTGAGCAATCCTTGGATTAAAAACAATCTTGTATGCATGGGTGGTTGGCTTAAAAGGATCTTCATTCAAATAAACACTAAAATTTGAAATTATATAAACTTCTACTTAAGTAAAAGCATCCTAAAATGCAATGAAGCCCTAAGAGTTGCTTGAATTCTCTCCCGAACAAAACACGTAAAAGTGCTAGAAGTAAGATATATTAAAAAAAAAAAAAACAAACTTTAGAATACCTAATGAAAAGCCAAATTCAAAACATAAAATACTTACTAGTTCATCTAAAAGAAGCAGTTCAATATTATCACTCAGTTTTGGTTAGCAAAAATTCTTTTGCCTCCAAATCCTAATTACTTTAACTTTTATCCTCCACCCCTCTTTAGAAAGATTAAGATCTTTGATAAAATTGAACCTCTTAGCCATTAGGATTTGTATGCTTTTTGTGATACTAAAAAAATAATAAAAAAACTAGTATAACATTATATATGTATGCAAAAGAGACCCTTTTAATAACAAACATTTATTGGATAGCTTATAAAGAAGAATTGGTTAAATAAAAGCTTGCATAATTTGAAATTAGCAGATGAATGTAAATTTTTAGCACAATGGAAATGTAAGACAAATGAGGCATTTGATAATAGAATAGGCAAACTAATAGATTTATTGGTCTGTAGCAGACAATAAATATTGAAATGTAGTAGATTATAAATATTGGAATACAGTAGACTATAAATATTGAATTGTAGCAGACTATAAATAGGATATATAGAGAAAATTCAATAATAAATATAAATATTCTGAATTTAATAAAAAAATAACAAAAAAAACCATTACGTGATGATTAGAAATAATTTTTTCATGTATCACATATTTACCATTTTCAAGTTAAACCTTTAAAACAAATTCAAACTACTATAAACCATTGAATAGAAGATAGTGCCACCTATGAAATAGTAGAATTAAGGACATTATTAAGCTTTTCAACAGAGGGTCCAACAAATTCTACCAAAACACATGCAGAAGATAAAGATAATCCCCACGTGTTCAACAGAGGGTCTAGCAGATTCTACCAAACCAACCTAGCCTTTGAATGGAATAGAAGCAAGAACCCTATAAAATACACTCTGCTGATCAGTGGTGACCAAAACCAGATAATCCCCACCATCATAAATATCTTTAACCTGCAAAATAAATTACATTACTATTAACTTTTTTCACATCCTCTCTTAGGTGCTAGAGAAAGAGGCATGTTTTGTTTTTAATCTAAATAAAAATGGGAAAAGGAAATTCTAGGATTTTATACAAATTCCTCAACTGCCAAACACAAAAAGAAATGCCTTGCCTCTGATACTGGATTTCAGTCTAGAAGCTGTTAAATGAAGATTTGTTTTCGACAGACAATAGTGAAGAAAGCCTTTGATGGCGTCGAGGACTTTTTGCTGACCACTACTACACAAAGTATCCAAAGATGCTCCTTGTTGGCTTTGATGGTGGCTTTGTCCATACATCATCGATGGACATATTTTCGGATACTTGATGAAATTGCGTTTTGGTGAAGGGATTGAAGAGGATGAGGGATTGGGTGTCTGAAATTTAAGGGAGTTTAGGAAGGTTTTTAAAGGTTAAAGGTTGTTCTCTTTTCTTAATTCCTAGTTCCTACTTTGGTAAGACGGTTTGGGTTTCGATTTGTTTCTTGATTGAGAGGCCAGGGAATGCTAGACTGGAGAAGGAGGTGGCATGAAAACACCTAGAAGCAGTGGGTTCCAGCATGGAAATGAATCGTCAGCCATGGGATTTAGCAAGGAAAGAGCTCTGACAGCCATAGCGAGGAAGAAGCTTCAGCAGCAATGATGAAGAAATGGGATTTCATGGGAGAAGAAATGGGATTTCATTTGTGGGGGAGAAGAAATTGGGTTTAGGTTATCCTAATTAAAAAAAAATGCAAAAAAAAAAAGTGAAAACTTTTTCAAACTGGTTTTGATCAACTTTGTATGGGCTCATGATTTTAAAGAACAAAATTATATAGTTTATAAATGTAAATAGGAAACATATAACATTAAAATAATGTGAATATAAAAGAATTTTTTGATTTTGTTTTAATATATATTTTTAGATTCGAGAAATCAATAATATAATAATAATTGAGTTAAATTGAATAAAAAAATTAGTGTAATATGAAAAGGAGTGTTTGAATGGATTTTAATCTAATTTGGATTTAGTTTTGAGTTTTAAGGGAAAAATTATCTAATTCATAAATATATATATATAGGTGTAAACCGTATAATATATAAATGCAAATAAGTGTAAATATACAATATTAAAATAATGTGAATAAAAAAATTTTATGGTTTTACTTAAATATAAATTTATATTCAAAAAATGAGTAATATAATAATAATTGAATTGAATTGAATAAAAAAAAATTAGGTGTAGTGTAAAAAAAAGTATTTGAACTAATTTTAATGTAATTTGGATCCAATTTAGAGTTTTCAAGAAAAAATTATTTAATTTATATATGTGAATAAATGTAAACATATAATGTGAATATAAATAAGTTTTTTTAATTTTACTTTAATTAAAACTTTAGCCACTTCACTCGTATGTCCGGACTCCGGACCTAGTTTCCCCTACCACACAAGAACAATGGGTTTTGGTTAACTTTTATTCTTAATCTTATCTGTTCGAATGCGGTTTTCCCAGTGCCTTATAAGCCCAAACCTAGTTTCCATAGCGCAGGAATTTTTGGACTTTTGGGTGAAAAACGAACTCATTTGAAGCATATCCCATTGAAAGATAAGAGATGCTTGTCTTTAAATTGTACAATTTAGTTTTTTTTTTAAATTTTTTTTATAAATTTAAACATTTAAAAGCTGTTTTTTATGTTTTCTTAACTTTCAACCCCCTAACACGTACGTTGTCAAAATTGATAGAAAAGAAAAGAATAATATTTTACCTCACCCTTTCACACTGGATAAGGTTTGGTTACCACAAAGTAAGGAGGAATTTTTCCTCGGAACATGACAGGCAACTACGCTGGAATCTGAATAAAAAACCTCTGTGTACCATTTATTTTTTCTGGGCCCAAGAATACTTCCAATCTGTATGATAAGTTGCCTCACCTAAAACCTGGTAAATTCTGACTTCGGAGTATATGAGAAATAAAGTAACCTGCTAAATTCTGACTTCGGAGTATATGAGAAATAAGGTACCAGATTATATAACAACCTGAGTGCAAGAATAAATTTAAAAAAAAGAAAAAAAGAAGTACTGGTATAAATTGATTAAATCATATAAATATAGTTGTGAGAATTTTAAATTAATGGGGAAAAGGTTTGACAGAAAAGAAAAATGAACAAGAGAAGAGGTCGTGACCAAAGATTCAAAGAATGAGTTATATAATAAAAAATTTTGATACCATCAGAGTCGAAACCATCAAGGCAGCCTATGGTTCACTATTAGAAATAGGGACTTATTCGAGCAAGTATTTTGACCAAATAAGTATAAATTTTGATAGAATAAAAAGTAATTCAATTAAGTTGCTTGATTGAATTGTTGATCTAAATATTCGTTGTACGAAATAATAATT